GGCGCTGTTTCTGAAAGTCCTTACCCTTGAGTAATGAAAAAAGATGAGTAAATCGCACCATGCTTATATCTAAAATGATGCTTTACCGAATGGTAATGCTAAGCAAAACAGTTTGTGGAAAGAGAGTTATTAACGATTAAAAAATGTGTACTTATTTTTAGGACACCCTGAATATACAGAATCTGTACATCACGTTTGAATAAACTAATTATAAATCTGGTAGTTCCAATTAATTTTCAATTTTTTGATCTTTTGGGGCAATGCGAAAAAAGCTCTTCATTGCAACGTATTTATCTTATCTGCTGGTTGTGAAAGCTTCTGCAAAAGTTTGTTAACAATATTTTGGGCTGATCAAGCGCTGGTTCAAAGAAAGTTACTCTGAAAGCATGATGTTATGAAAAGGAAGAAGTTCTGCAGCATCACCATGAATTGCCATTTTATATCATTCTATAACAGAAAAATAGCAACGTAATGATTAGCACTTTTTGCACCGGCCTTTAAATTCGTTGCGTGAGCCCGATTACCGTACCCCATTCCCTCTTGTGTTTGATGAAAAAAAGGCGATTGACGCGCATAAACTGCAGATGAAATGTAGTCTCCATGGACTAGTGGCTAAGGAGCGCGACTCTCAGCTGCCAGACTCGGGTTCGATTCCCCACTCACGAACCCCTTTTTGCCACTAACGCTGGCTCCAAAAAACAGCTGATTTCTCCACAGATCCTATTATATAAAAAGAATCTGTGTCTCAAAATTCAAAGGTATCTCCACTTTAAGGATATATTTCGCTCCCAAAATGAACGAAATATAAAAATGTAAAAGCATTTTTGCTTAAGAGCTTGTTGTCTTCTTTTTATTGGTACCATTCTCTCCGACCCATCTTTACTGGCTCGTAAGTTATAAGCGCTCAAAGTTAACGTATCGGTTAGAAGCGCTGCTGCTTCTTGAACGATATCTTTCGTGGTTCTGATAGCCACTCAGATAATCGCGGGGGGCAGGCGGCAATGCGAATTTTGAGCAAGCGGGCACCAGAAAAATAGTTCGCTGATTCTTGCGGCCTGCTTGCAGAAATTTGTAAGAATGTTGACCAATTTTCAGACGAATGCTTGGAGAACAATTGCGGCTTTTTCATAGATTAGTTGCGGCGCATTGACCGCATTCTCGCGGACTTTCCGCGAATACGCAAATTTATTGAGGGCCGCGCGGTCCTTTGTGGAAAATCGCACAGCCCTCAGGTACTTTCCGCTAAGAGAAAGTACCTCAAACTTGAGTGATTAAACCATCGATGACACCTCTGCAGCATAGAGTCTCATATTTGCTCGATGTACGCCCGAAACTGCTTAAAAAGAGACCAAGCGCCTGCTGAAAGTTTGGCCAGCGCTCACTGAAATAGATTAATTGAGGAGCGCCCGCAGAAAACTCTGTATTCTGCCCCGCTAGCAAGACATTCGACAGTAAAGGAGGTGCCGCCCGCTGAAGGTTTGGCCACGCCCCAAAATTCTGCTGACCGCCTGCAAGAAAACGCGAGTTTGCGGACCGCCTGCCCCGGCGATTATCTGAGTACTTACGGGGAAGTTCGAACGGTGCTATCCTTGTGTCCGCGGCCCAAAATTTCAAAGTCGTGAGTTTGGCTGAGATTTGGTCGATGGGGATCACAAATATTACATTCTTTTTTCACAAAAACGCCACTTGGGGCAACGGTGGGTATAAGTAGAAGGGTCAGTTCTGTTTTGGCTGAAATTTGTTCTAGGGGGTTTTCTGAGGTGCTAATCACGAATACCATATTCTTTCTGCATTCTGCGGCGGGCTTAGTCTTCCAGAATCCTTCGAACCAACGTACGCCGGGCCCTGCGGTTTTGGCACGAAAAATGAGGGGGACGCTGTGAGCATACTGATTAGAAGTACATTGAAGGGGGAGGAGGATACTGTGACTTTCTTCAGTAAGCTTTTGAGAAAAGGGGGTTTTGCAGACGGGACAGTTCCTTGAATAACGAAGAAAGAGTGGACAACTTCATGTGGATTTTTAGAGGGGAAAGCTTAGTGCATTTTGGCTAAGAAACTGGGAAAGGAGAACTGATATTTTGAGGCTAGAGTGTTGAGGAAATTAAGATCTTGTGGAAGACAGTCTTTTCGCATGGGCGGTCACCAGCGCTATCTTAATTTTGACTTGTCTTAACACGTCAGCACGCCGCAAATCTCTCAGACACTTTTCCCGACGGCCCGCGCGCCTTGAGCGTGCGAGCGCTCATGCCTCCCGCCGCCCGTGGAATGAAGGTACGCGGCTCGCTCGCTGAAGGCGCGCCGCTCGCCCGCTCCTTCGAAAGCGTTGTAGGACCCTATTGTAATACAGATAGCAATCCTTTGATGAAATTCATATTTTGTTATTGAAATGCGACCTCATAGCGTCAGATTTATTGCCAAACATGTATACAGGTATCATGATGGCAGATTTATTATCCAAAGACTTACAGAACGACATAATACAGAATCAAAAGCAGAACACAACAGGAAACAGCTATAATATCATCAATACCTCTTGCGCTAAGCACCCTGTTGAAAACACGTAAAGCACAGCAGCCATGCTGATACTGAGAAAACACTGTTAGATATCAGTAGAATGACCTGATTGAGCAAAAAAACCGGAATCCTGTCAGAATTATGACTCTGAGGCAGTGAACACGGAGATTTTGATGAACGCTTAAAGCAGGGTACCATTATATTACGAAAGATGAAACACAAAAGATAAGACACTGAACAATACTTGAAAAGAAAACACAAAAAGAAAAACCTAGACAAATCAATTTTTTTCTAGAGGAGACGTTGGAAAGGAAATTACGCAGATGTTGACAGGCGTTAGCTGATTATTGAGTTGCTGCTACGTAATCCTATTTCGGTTAGTAACATCCTTCAATCTTCGGCTGATGCGGCACGTTTCTGGCGCTGAAAGAAGTGTCAGATCATTATTTAAGTATGCACAAATTCTCACCTTATTAGCTATCCATTTTCCTGACTCGTAATTCTAGGACCTTATATCTCGCCTGAAATCAAATTCTCAATTACTATACGATCTGTAAAGGATCTTTGGACTTACAGAGCCATTTGGAGAGATTCGAGACATGGTGGAAAAACAGGTCTAGACTTCGCATACGTTTGCGATCCTCCAGATTTACACGCTTGAGACTGACCGCGGCCCGATACATCTTTCAAAATATTGTAATACTAGATGGCAAACCCGGCTCCGCCCGGGACCAAACTTTGCACACATACACTTCGGGGCAGGGAGCGTGTCATAGGCTACTTTTCGTTATCGATCGATATCGATTTTATCGATTTTTGCAAAATTTGAGCTAGGGGGCTGGGATTTTGCACAGGGGGGTAATCGAGCATGCTGATCACCCCGGAGCCCCGAAGTATATGTGTGCCAAGTTTGGTCCAAATCGGCTCAGAAATAAAAATTTCTATTCCGCACATACGTACAGACAGACATACATACAGACAGACATTCAGCTTTATATATAAGATCAGAAAAAAACATAGCAAACAACTCTGGTGATTGCACCAAAATTCCTCACGAAAACGTCTCCCTGCATAGTTACGGTAGGGGTCAAAATAACAAATCGGCAAATGTATCTTTTCCCTGTGCTTTGCCTAGGCAAAAGCCGCAGCAGGGCGTGTAGCGTACGGCGGTGGTCGTGAGTGCAAAGTTTCACGATCGTCCGAATAGCCGTATACCCTTACCGTGTAGCTACCGTAATCCGAGAAAATGACGCTACCGGTCAAAACCAATGTGATATTTAGCATCAGCGGGCCGAATAACCCCTCTGGGCCAAGTTTTGGGCAAATCTATGATTTTGACCCCCTACCGTATACTTACCGTAACCCTGCAAGGAGGCGTTTTCCTACGAAGAAAGGGTGATATTCGTGATCAGCACGTAAGATAACCCCCCTGAGCCAAGTTTGAAAGAAATCCATGACAAAAAAATGGGGCCCGGATAGCCGAACGGACGCAATACGGACGCTAAGATGCTACGGAATAGGGAACGCATGGATGACAATGACTGTGCAAATGTGAACCAGAAAAGACTTACAAAGAATGGAGACGATTAGCCGGCAAACCGGACAAGCAACCAACGATGCGATAACAAATGCAACCTCCTACGGCTAACAACGAATTCAAAATGATGCTTACGCGTCTTGTTAAGTTACATGTTCGTTGTTCTTACATATTTGTTTATGGCACGCCGCTCGCCCGGTCACTCAAGATGGCGCGCCGCCCGTCGAAGGCAAGGCGCGCCGCTCGCACGGTAGGTTTTGATGGCGCGCCGCCCGTCGGAAACGATGCCACGCCCACAAATCTAGGCGCGCCGCTCGCACGGTAGGCTCATGAAAGCGCGCGGGCCGTCGGAAAAAGTGTCTGAGCTTTCTTCCGCCTGTTTTGCTTAGGCAAAAGCCGCCGCAGGGTGTTCCGCGCGCGGCAGTGGTCCTGTGTGGAAAGCAGAACGGACGCGAATCGTCCTCACCCTCCTCTAATGCTTTGACGGAAAAAGCTGCTAACGCTTTGAGAAAATATTACACCGAAAAGAACTACAATATATCAACTAAGAGAAGCCACAGAAAAGAGGGCTGCGTGAATGATGCTATACGAGAGAGTCTAGAGAAAAAGCGCGAGCTGTAAGGTGTGCATTTCAGTTTTAGAGAATGAGCTTTACTAAACGCGACATCTTTCTTGACTCCAAACGTTCTTCTGCAAGCAGTCGTACTTTCGTCATTAGAACTACCATGCGCACCATGCCTTCCCAGCAGAACTTTTCAATCAAAACATTACTAGATGAAGTTTATTAGCTTTTACGGCATTGAAAAGGTGTTATACGAGGCTTTGATGACTCAATACAACATTTCTCACACCTGCTAGCTATTGGGCCGCTAGTTGATTCAAAACATTCGCAGATCAGTCCAAGAAACAACACGAATTCTCGCGCCTTCCTAATAATGAACCTTTTCAGCATCAGGCGCATTGCTTCGGACTTTGCTACCGTCAGGAATCTGTTCTTAGATGGCAGCTGATGACATCATCGATGTCAAAGTAGTGCTGGTTGGAGATTCTTCAGGTAAGAGCGTAAAACATAATATACCCTTTGAATTAACTGGCTTGGCGGCTGGAACGCGGGGCTCCGTGACCTAATTAAAGCTAGAGAATGATCAGAGAGCACGCGCGCGGAAGAGACGCAAACTGCGTCGCGGGCGTGCCTACTAGGTCGCAAAACCCCGCCTTCCAGCAGCCAGCCAGTTGAATCATAGGTTACATCGAACGCACTCAATCTGTTTCAGTCGGAAAGTCAGCAATTCTCAAACGATTCTTCGATGATAAATTTGAGGAAACCTCGACCACCATAGGAATCGACTTTCGTTACATTACTAAGCGACTGGAGAACGGAAAGGTAGGTTTCCATAAACTTATGACCGGCATCAGTGATTTTTATATCCAGAAAATCTCATGAAAAAGTCAGGAATGGTCAGGAGGTGTTGGCCGCTTGCTTTTTTCCTAGACAAACGGTCATGAATTGTTTTTTTAGAGAGATCGCACATCTTTTACAGAGGAAGCGCAGCACTATGCAACCTCGAATTTTTGCAAAGTAGTATGTCAGTGAACTCAAAAGCTAACTGGTGATTTTCTATGTCGTAAAGTCTAATTTAAAACGTTACGCTACAGGGGCACTTTCCAGTGTGGAGGCATTCACACTATTGAAGAGCTCGGTTTTTCTATCTTCTGGAGAATGCTGACATCATAGCTTGCAGCTGGTTATGGACTAATAAGCAATTTTACGCTCAAGCAACTTGTACCACAGAAATTTTTGTGAGCGAAGATAATGAGCAAAGAGTTTGCGGTAGAATAATAAGAATTTTCAGAATTTCAGCCTCTGTATTTGAAGGTATATTCTAGAAAATGGCTTTTTGTTATAATTGGAGCAAATAAAGGGCAATTGGATAGTCGCCCCTGTGCTGCAATGTCTTCAGCAAGCTTCCTTCACAAACCAGCTCAAGCACAAGTCCAAGAGGACAACTTACAGTCTTAAAGATCTGCAACTTTCTTGAAAACGTAATTCTAAGTAGAACAGATTTTATATTATTTCAATGGCGTAGTGGTATGAGGAGGCGCCACCATGACCAGCGACTAAGGTTCGATCCCACCGCTGGAGTCCGGACCAACCAGAGGAATCGTATGACCCCTAGTCACTGTAAAGGTTCACCCTCAGTAGTCTACTCGCTGTTGAAATACGCAGCATAGCAAGCGCCGGATTCCTTATCTTTATGCACTGAGAAGTAAAACTTATTTCATAAAATTATTCAGTTTCTAGTACTTATTACCATCATTACCATACTTCTCTCGCAAATAACAGCTCAACGAACTCAACAACAGCTTTTTAGAAAATTCGGCTTTGCGTTTGGGATACAGCCGGCCAGGAGCGATTCCGACAGCTTGCCCCTTCCTATATCAGAGACGCTGACGTCATATTAATTGTTTTTGATCTCACAGGTCAGTGAGTTCGCCTCAAAAGAACAAAAGGTTATTTCGAACAAGCCAAGTTTAGCTTCAAACGCTGTCGAGCAGATAACTCGATGGATGCTGTTCGTAGAGGGTGAACGAGAAGAAGGAGCGAACATTATTTTTGTTGGCAACAAATGCGACATTAGGCAAAGGTATGTGTTTGAATAGACAATGGGAATCTGTCAAAAACTACATGCTTAGACGGCAAGATGCATCTGTGACAACGAGAATGATGTCAGAGTATAAGTCACCTTATGTGGAGACTTCAGCCAAAACGGGATTGAATGTCAAAGAAGTGAGTGGACGACCCCAAGATTCGTAAAGTTGAGGATCTATTGTATTTTGCAGCTTTTCTCTCTCGTCTCGCAAATGCCATTCCAGCATCGAAAGAAACTTTCAGAATCAATACGTTAGTAAATCTACCCCATACTTTCACTGTATTGCTGAAAAATGTTATTTCAGGTCTTACATCGACACCACCATCATCACTTTCACGATTTTCACAGTGCTGTTAGTACTATATTATCTGTTCATATGATAGTTCTATATGGTAAAGAAAGGAAAAACAATAACTTGTTATGTTGCTGTTGTGTCTGAGAAGCACTTAAGCGGAGACTTTTTATCGGATTTCATCAACATGTAGAAAACTGAACTTTTCTATGAAATGCTGCCATTGATAGTCTACTCGTTCATATAATCAGTCACGATAAATATCGGATCATTCCATCTGATCATTTCTACTAAGCAGCATTCACTCAGTTATAATAGTCGCAAGTTAATGTCACTAGAAAATCACGGTTGATTCCGTTTTTATAAATTATGGCGTAGTGGGATGAGGCGCCGCTATAACCACATCAGACCAAGGTTCGATCTCGGCAATGGGTCAACCAAGCTCTCTACCCTCCTAGGATGGTAAATCGGTACTAGAGTATTCTTGGATGTAAACCAAGTGGCTCGCACAAACTCAATTACCTCTTCGATTACGAAGCAAAATGCATTCGTTTAGGTTTTTTTTTGTTTTGCATTGCATTTTGATTCGTACCGTACCGATGAATTCATCTGGTTGTCCAAAAAGGAAAGCCAACCACTGCCCGGGTTTTCTTGCGTATACCAAGTAAAGCACGTGCTAATGTACAGTAGAAATAGCACTGTTCGAAAAATTGAGGCAACTTTGCAGGACGGACTAATTTGTAGCATCCAGGCGCCCGGCTAGTTTTTTTGTCACGATATTAGTCTTGAACCAAACCTATGGAATGCACGAATCACCATATCCCGTGTGTCGGTACTGGATGTGTAGTTCGTTCCTCGACAGTTCCTCACCATTATTACTTTACTGTTCTGTATTAGCTCTTCTGTACCTCATCATCTAGCTACTCTTATTCTCTCTTCTCTATATTTGCATATCAGTTCTTGCGGTTTGTCATTTTGTGATAAACCATCTATTTTTACCAGTTGTCCCGAAGTCAGTGAAACCTGCGGTCTGGACCGTCTACCGCCACTGATTTGATATGTAAAATTTGTTCTCTGATGTACAAAATTAAATTTCTTCAAAACCTTTACGGCACCTTATGCTACAAAACAGGTTCAAGTGAAGAAAAAGGAGAACAACAGCAAAGCTCAAAAACTCGCAAAGATCATATGTACAAGGCACATGCAATAAACTCCGTCATCCTAGCACAACAATCAATATTAATTAACTCTACCTAAATAACTATCACAGCAGGCGAAACAACTAGCTCGGGTTGTTTCAGCAACACAACAATTAAGTACACGTAAACGTCACGAAAGGGAGAGATTTAAGATCCAATTTACATCTAGAAATTTTGGAGAACCCGAATAGACTTGATACAGTATGCACAAGTGTCACATTCCAGAGGGCTTCGTCAGTGTTGAATCAACATTTCGAATCAGCTCTGTCTGCGCTATAGCACCGTCCTCTTCCTGTGAGAATGCGAACCCATCTGAAAATCACAAAATTTACCTGATTTTGAGCCAATAGGCAAGGAATTCTCACATCTAGCCTGTTCGGCAAGTGAGAGTGAAGAATCACTACGACGGCCTTGACGGAAGGAATGACGAAGAAGCCGGACGTTTTCCAACACAGTTGAGGAATAGCTGCAACATGGGTATAGGTGGAAAGCTACACACAGCACAAGGGAATCGCCGCGACTTTGCACATGGTTACATTTTTTATGAGTTTTCACATCGTTTCCGAAAAAAAAGCACAAACATAAGCTGGCGAGCAATCGCACGCAGACAGAGGGCGCCATTGCGAGCAATGTCGGAATCATCTCTGTGTGCAATAACTCGCCCATACTTGCCGTCAAATCTCATGTCACCTGGTGCAGTTGCAACATACGAAATTATGCTAGCTCCCCTGCTTCATGTAACAATGAAGGAACATTCCCTTTTCGAACCCAAAAAAGACGAATGAGGTCTGCTTTCCTCATCCCCCTCTCCCATGAAAACAGCGTCCATGGAAGTCACAAGTCGCTGAGATTTTGACGATTTACGCGAATATCAAGTGATGCTCAAATACCGCTGGAAAAAGCGAAATTCGAAACGAGAAAATCACTCCGGAAGGAAGATGCGGCATAGGTCGTCACGCCCTTCAACATAGGTGGCCTAAAGGTGATAGCCTCAGAAGTGAACTCCAGAAAGCTAGAAATGTCTGGAATCCGACTGAACCAGATTTCAACAGTCTACTCTATAGCGTCATAGAGCCATCATCTTTTGGCCACCACTTGATGGGCGTGCCGACCTCTGCCGCATCTACAGGGCTTTTCAACGTAAGAGTCACAGCCTCCGCTTGCGCGGCTCCTCCAACGCGGCCGCCTCGCTCAGGCCGCGCGCGGCGTTTGCGGCGTATTGCCCGGGTTTTTGCCAAGCTTCAGTCGACGCGGAGCCAGCGCCACGAACGCTGCGCGGACCTAAGCGTGGCGGCAGAGCGGGGCGGCTGTGACACTCAGGTTGTAAAGCCCTGTACATCCCACGATTTTCTCTCTCTGAGATTGACCTTTTGCGTAGGGACTTGGGCATTCACTTAGTCAAAAGCCGCTGTTAGATCACACTCACTAACCACAGATTTGAGTGGCGGTGCCTTCAAGATAGTGTACCGTAACAGTAATCCGAGATTCAAAGTGTACCGTAACAGTAATCCGAGATTCAACGACAAGCATGCTGAGACCTGGATGATAGCCGTTTATCATCAGAGCGTAAGCGCGAAGCATTGAGCGTCTGCTGGGCAACTAAGGTGTATAGTAAAGATGAAACTCAGGGTCGGGAATACCTACATCTAGTGATGTTTCAACCAAGAAAAGTTCGTCGCATGCAGCTTGTGAAAATCGAGAATAACCAAGGAAAGAAAAAAAGTGGAAACCCTTCTATGTTAGTTTGAGATCGTACAGTTAGATCAAAATTTTGAAGTTATTTGAACGCATGCGAATTGGCACTGAATCTTTTTGATTAAATACGTTTTGGAAAAGGGGAAAGGAAATCATGCTATTGTGAGGTAAACGCATGCACAGATTCGTCACAAACTAAGGCATTTCAATGCACGGTTGCCTACAAACACATTACATACAATCAAAAAATGTATAAGCTGCATCTTTCGAGGTTGCCGTTCACTTTAACTATCAAAATTGAGAAATTCTCAAGAAAAGATCATGCTCATATTCTATATCGCATCCAAAGACACTACTTCTAGCTTTGGCAGATTCTGAGTAAATAATGTGGCCAGGTCCGTACAGCCAGAAGACGGTCCAAAATGAAAATAACGAATGTCTGGAGACGAACCAGATGTGTTGAAGACGGCCGCCCAAAGAGTTGAGATCAAAGAATATATTTTCGAGCCAAGCTTCATCTTGCACTACACTTCATCAGGCTACAGCGATCCGCGTCACATAATCCGGATGTGCGTCTGCCGATCCAAGTGCCACCATCTCTGTGCTGCCGTAATCCATGGCGGGATTGTCGTGGCCACGAAGTTCGGTGGTTTCATATTCAGAATGTGGCGACGAATAACCATTCGGACGCGACGACGATTTGCTGGAGACGGCCGGCCGTGATGATGGGCTGAAGACGAACACCATTCACACACAGACATTACCACAAAGAGGAAGATAGAACACTGCATGCGAAAGGAAAGGAAATGAAGAGTCAGATCATAAAGCAACAGAGGATAGCGGACAATACAGCACTCTCGCGACGTGATAAGTCACTTGACGATAGTAATTCACCCTGTGTATTAGTTTCGTATATTAGAGAGGTTGCGCTTGGACGATGCAGCATCTACAACAAGCAAGAGATATCAGATTGCTGTCGTAAGTTTGTGGGCGGATTATTTGACCAGATTGTTAAGTTAGGTGGTGTGAGTGATAAAATCGATGAGATATGACTGAGAAAAAGCAGTGAGCGAGAAGCATAGCCAAGCTACGGCTTATACAAACCTGGCTAACCGTTCGAATCCTGATGATGAGCCAGTGCTTTTCAGTCGCATTACGACTCGTTCGCGAGGTGTAGGATAGGCGATTGTGATGAAGCTGGAATAAATAACGACTGAACAGCCCTGACACTCTTTTATTTATCTGTTTATTTATTTATTTATTTATTTATTATACGCAAGGTGCGCCATTAAAGAAGAACGCAGAAACACAAACACAAAGTCTAGCCAGTAACACATATTGGGTAGAACTCGCTGCCTGCTGACCAGACTTCTACAGCTGATAAAAATGGTGTTCAAAGAAGGCCATTTTACCTATTACAAAATAGCGAAATTTGGGAACGCCAGAGTTGCTCATGCCAGCGCCATGCCAGAGCATTGAGTAACCAATATAGCATGCGCGCGTGGGTTCCGACACGGTGCTGGCACAGAAACGAACAAACGCTGATTTTGAAAGAAAAAACATCAACAATACTAGTTCGAAAAAATATGAAGAGAATAGAAAAATTCTGTGGAAATGTCCTGCATTCAAAGTCAAAAAGGATGAAGAGTCAGTTATACCTCTTTATAACGAGATCCCATATCAACGTAGCACACGGTATGAACAACAATGCCAGCCAGAACATCCATGATGACATCATTATCCAAGCCATGCCTGCCATATCAGCTCCGATACGTAACGAGACAACAGGGAATATCTGAATGGGAACTCAAATTGAAAATCAATAAAAAATTGAATAGTTATACTTAAAAGTAGCTACATAGCAACTTACCGCTGCGTATATGCACAAGAACAATAGCCAGACTAATATAGACCCTATGCTAGCTAGTACCACAGGCCAGGTCCATGAATCACATTCCAGAAGAGCTTTCAAACATACTGTAGCTACCACAAACTGTAAAAAAAATAATGTACTGTAATATCTTTGAAAAAATATGAACTTACCGAATATGCGCTATTACCCAGCATCAGCCAACCACCCGTCTGTCCGTTACCCCAAACGACTTGCGTTTGGAGGAACCCGTAAGAAAGGAAAAAGAGCGAAAGTGAATGGACAAGTGCCATCCCTATCCAGAGCATGAATCGCTGAAATGAGATACATCAAAAACTAGAAAAACTTGGAGAAATGCTGATAGCACTAACCGGTATGGAAAACGATCTTTTCTGGAAGCTGTGGTATAGCGATGGATATCGCATCATCTGGTCAGCAGCAACTGGTCGATCAAATAATCCAAGGACGATGGGAGGGAAGGCAGTGAATATGACGTTGAACAATCCGATAGTCCACCTTTCGAAAATTGTCTGTCCAGACCATGCTGAGAAGATGGCAAACCTAGGCGAAACAACCTTCACAAAAGACCAGAAAAAAGAAACGAAACTCACCAGAGTTCGATAATGTACAAGCAGATGTTTTTGTAAAAGCTGTAAAGAATAACCTTTACAGATCGATCATGGTTCCAAGCGCCATGTACCTCAAAAACTGAATTTACATTCAACACAGTATGGCATAAGTCCCTATTGTGCGACATAATTGTATGGATATATGTAAGCGTACGAAAGTAAAAATATGGATCAAAAGAGGATTATAAAGGCTGATTTCCTACCAATAGCAACCTTCTCAAGAAATGGAAACGCGGGATAGCATAATCAGATGCTGACGCAGCCTGTAGTCCTTCTTCTCCCGTAATTCCGATACCAACATTGGCAGCCTGAATGAATCAGATACTGATACTTTTACAATGACAAAGAGCAAGCAAAATAAACATTACGGACCTGAATCATAGCCACATCATTTGCTCCGTCTCCTACAGCCATCACAACATGATTGCCAATGCTTCGCACCATTTCCACCACCTGCATGCCAGTGATGACATTCTTTTGGAAACCAAACAATGGAACCATCTCCCACCTCTGCCTTCTGCATCGGACTCATACGGCAGCACACAACAGCATGGCATCTCATCGCTAGCTCACTAAATGGAGCGCGGCAATCACCAACCAGCGCATGAACGAGCGATTTACCATCGATGACCAGTGCGAACTGCCTGAATGTCTATATGCGAAACACCACAGTAAGGTTGCGTTCATGCTGATCCCGAAGTCCGGGAACAGTTCCAGCACAATACTCGGACTGAGCGCTATGCTGGAACTGTTCCCAGACTTCGGGGCCTAAGATGAAGTAAACGCACTTTTTATCTGCTTCAAGCTCCCTAGATCTTTCAGCCAGTTGTGCTAGTTTAGAGCATGTTTCCTCATAGGTTTCTTTGTCCACAGTCAACAGTTCCATACCGGGCTGGCAAAGAGCGCAGGAATGAGCTTTAAAAACAAGGATGACCATATCAAGTATGAATATAATCGGAGAATGGAACATAATGAATAAGGGAAAGTCAAGTAGTACTATGTGATACTTATGCTGAAATCGCGTAAAAACACTAGTCAAACCCGCTAAATAAAAGCCGACAATAACATAATCAAAACTTTTGAATGGAAAATCGGAGAATCTCAGATTCCACCTGTCCTAAGACACAAAAGCGCAAAAATGCCTTAGTAGGAATGATGCAAAAAATGACTCGGATAATAATACCTTGGGCATCAAAATGTCCAAAGATGATAGAAACCCAAGGTTAAATAATAACGAAACTGCCCTCTATACGAAACTGATGCACAGAACAAAAAGTTAAAAAATAGCAATTCACCTATGTTTATAGCAGTTTCGCGTTTGTCCCCAGTCAGCATCCACACCCGCATATCAGCAGCCATCAGTGCTTGCACTGTCTCGGGAACATACTGTAAACAACAAATGCATCACAAGCTGACATCTAAGGGCCGCATGCACTAACATCCCCGCGGGGAGGGATCGCAGCTTGAAAGAAAGTTTTATATTCCGAAACTGCAGATACCTGGATTTCACGTCGTGTCTTATCGGTAAGTATTCCTACTACCCTTCACTATGAACATGTTGAAGAGGAGCGAGAAGCTGTACGAACCACATTTTCTAGCTTTAGTATGATCCCTGATGATCCCCGGCGCTTTTCTTTATGGTCATTTTTCTTTCTCCGAAGTTAACGAGAAACCTAAAGTTGTGCAGATTATCTAAACCGACAGTGCTAAGCATGTTGCTGATAAGAACAAATGATGTTTTGAAGTCATGAAATTTTCGATGATCCACAGGTCGAAATTTGAGGTTTACCGAAAAATTCGACTTTTCAAAGACTCATTTGTTCTCATCAGCAGCATGCTTAGCACTGCTGTGTTAGATGTTCAGTTCAACTTTGGAAGGTTTTCGTTAACTTCGGAGAAAGAATAATGACTTTAAAGAAAGCGCCGGGGATCACCAGGGATCATACAAAAGCTGGAAAACGCGGTTCGTACAGCTTCTCGCTCCTGTTCAACATGTTCATAGTAAAGGGTAGTAGGAATACTTACGGATAGGTACACAATGTGAAATCCAGGTATCTGCAGTTTCGGAATATAAAACTTTCTTTTAAGCTGCGATCCCCTCCCCAGCGGGGAGGTTAGTGCATGCGGCCCTAAGTAAGAAGAAGAGAGCAAACCTCTTGCAATTTATCTTCGATAGCTGTTGCCCCAATCAGTTCCATATTTTTCTCGATCCTTTCAGCAACTTCGGCTTGTGCCTTTTGTCTTCCCTCAATCAGGATTCCAGCCGCATGGTAGTCTTTGGCCCATGGTTCATACTCATCCTAAATCACATTTTAAGAGCCAGTACAACAGAGGGTTGGAAAATCACCAACATTAGGAATAGCCCGCATGGCGAAGCAAAGCGTTCGATAACCAAATGAAGCAAAATCTTCAAGATGCTCATGGCAAGTGTCAACGGCAGACTGGGAGTCAGGCTTCAATCGTGCAAAAATCACTGAGTCCTGAAATATTACTTGATCAAGACAGACTCAAACACACTTCAGCATGATAAACCACAAGAGATACAGAAAATGAGCGTCAAACTTTCAACTCACCGCTCCTTTTGTGTACAGCTTAACTACGCCAGAAGCATCACGAACAATAACGCTCATCCGTTTCCTATCGCTGGAGAAATCTACGACGTTCAAAACGTCTAACGTCTCGTCTACACCAAGCTAGAATAACAAGAATTACAAAAATGTGATGATCTAATTTGAAATCATGAAAAATGCTGCATATATCCAAAGAACACTATTCTGTACAGATTAGATTCAACACTCACAACAGACACGATGACTTTCTTGGGCTGACGAGTATGAAATTCGAACCCAAGCGCAGCTGCGCCTCGTACAAGAGCGCCTTCATCTGGTGACGAACATTGATAGGAAATCTTAATAGATTCGATTACTCATAACCTATGGTAAAACTCAAAAAGAAAATACCTTTCCATTCTTCTTCTCCGGCACCACTGTATGACATACAGCCATCATCATCAGCAGCTCCCGGATAGCCTTTCCTTCGGGGGAATCCTGGTAAAGATTTTTGAGGCAAAAACATTCTGACACATAAAAAACCGCAAGAAACATACCGGATCATCGCGATAGCGATCGACAAGGCTTTCATCACAAAATTCGTCATTTTCGTTGTCACCAAACATCATTCCAGCCACTGAGACACGTTTGAATTTCATGACATTGCGAGTTAGTGTTCCAGTTTTATCACTCATAACGAATTTGACCTAAAACCAGCGATAAGAAATCAAAGAAAAAACCAAAATGATAAATTTTGTGGCTGTAAGACGCTCCCCGCCAAAGAAAACTTCTTGCCACCGCTAGAAGAGCGAGATACTTACCAGTCCAAGCTCCTCGTTCAAATTTGATGTGCGCGCTACTGCACAAGAGTCGCTATTGGGATCATACATCTCTACATCGTTATTGATATACGTAGCCTGATATCAAAGTGTGTGAAAAGCAACCAAAAAGCATGGAACACAAAAATGACCAAGGAAACAAACCTGGAAGAAGCGAACTATCTCTAAAGTCACTTGTAAACTGATAGGAATGAGGTTATTATAAAGGATGAAGAAGGTTAGTACATTCCAAGCGAACGATGCTCTCGCGTCATTTTCTAAAATGTAAAGTGGTGCGTGATGTGACTGTGTAGAGATGCACAACTCACCTAGAAATGATAGGTACCACATTGCTGGAAGATTGGCGCTACGCCAAATTTCTGCTCCAGCAGCACTCACAAGGGCAAGAGTGAGCAGAACAAAAAAGAGAAAAATGATACGATTGTTCGTTCTCGAGTCAACAGTGCAACTAAATATGATGAAAATTATCAGGCAAACAAAACCGCTAAAAGTGCATTGAAGGAGCAAGACCAATGACATGACGCACCCTTTCAGGGGTGCTGTTTTCGAGTTCATCAGCAGTTTCGCATCATGTCCAGTATATATGACAGCGCCAAAGATCCATGAGGTATTCTTCAAGCGTGCGCCGCGTAATAGCAATTGATCGATGCCTAAAGGTGATTTGTCATAGTGCCCTCCAAAGCCAGTTGAAAACGGAGACAAGGATGGTTTGGCAGGGAAACTAGAGATATAGAAACTCAATCTACTATAACAAAGGCAGTCCTAGGCGCATTGGTTTCCTTGTGGAAAGTGAGAGAGGCCATAATCAAGGCACTAGAACAAGCGACAGTACAAATGTCCCCATATGCTCATGCCTGGACACTGCCTTCGATATTCATTTTACAAACTAACAAAAAGATGTGTCTATCCAATTATGTGAGGATCGCAGAGGTTAGCGTATTATCATTATCACTATTGAAAAAAAAAACAATATTCTACAAAAAACAAAATACTTATAGAGAGGAAAAAAGCATGATGCAAAGTTCTCACCAAATGGATTGTGTTCTCCTTGAACGATCAAGTTTCCACTAAATTCATTCACGTGTCGACTCGGCAATTCGCATTCTATCTCAGCTTCAAAGTCGACAGCACTTTCCAGAGTAGTTATCGATGCCGTAATTGGTAAGGCCTACAATAAGGATATGTAAACAGTTGGAAAAAGTCAACCGAGGATATCCCATTACCTGTTTGATTTTCAAATTCGTTTCACCGTCTAAATTAGAGGTTTCAATGTAGCACATGCCTTGAGGTTCACTTGAGGCTAATAAGAGGAGATCAGCAGGAAACAATTGATCGTTGTCTATTCTTACTATATCACCAACGGCGACCTAAGAAAAATCAGAATATCAAGGGTAAGGTGTGACTAGAACAAAAACTCACCGCTCTCCATTCTTCACGCTGCCAACTGCCATTTTTCAAGATTAATGTTGGAAAAGAGTTTACTTGATGGTCGGATCTCCGCCTTTTCTATAACAATAGAAGGAAGATACCCAAAAATGTATGTGATAATAAATCAAAACTAACAATGTCTTCAAATATCTCCTTGATAGCGGAAACAGTGAGAATTAATATGAAAGGCACAGCTGTCGTATATCGTCCCGTAGGGCTAACATCCGGTATTTGCTGCAAGAACAGAAATTTGTTTACTAGCTACCTATATACGTAGGTGAACATACTTGCAGCACAGCTATCATCAAGAAAAACACGTTATTATACCGTCGAAATTGCTCATAAAGAAATCGTGGCAGAAAGGAAACTGCATTGTATTTGCATGTACTAAACAAGAAGGTCTAAATCAACTAAATACACCTGTTAAATTCAAACTCACCTTATCCTATTTGATAGAAATTTTCCTTTTGAGTGTTCCCCACTTCCGCATACGTGGAAAAACCGGACATCTTTGCGTGAATGACGACGCCCCGGCATGTCTTCTTTAAGAACTTGATTACGTCAGAAACAACACTCTGCCTGGCGGCATGTATGAATGATTGACCAAGACATGATGAATCGCACTGACTCATGTCTTGAAACTTAGTCTAAGGAAAAAAACGTTAACTATATCCGAAGTGCGAGGATCATAAATGCATATTGAAACTCAGATTTGCCAAAGCCTCCCACTTATGGTACAAATACTTCCCAAGTGGAAATCTGGTGGCAGCGGCTAATAGTCGCAAAAATGGATAACCTATGACCCCAATTCTAATAAAATTTGACAAGGCAGATTATAGTGATTTTTCCTGCCATTTAGCTAACTAAGCACATAATTCAGCAATTAATCAAAATGTTGTTCTATTTCTAGCTACACATTTTTCTTACTCGAAAACAGCTGCAAGTGATACCGAAACTACGACGAAATTCCGTTAAACAAGGGACAGGGAAAGCTGACTTATGAAGAGCTTATCGAATTATTGTTTAACTGGCTACGATAAACAGACAGCAAACACATTAAATTTATTTTCTGCGATAAAGACCAGGTCAACTGTGAACCAAAAACGGTTCAGTATTCTTCATGAGAACGATGTCAAAGGCCGCGACTTTTGACAAACCAGCCCCCTCCCAATAATGGAACTATCAAAGTATGTGCACTTTCAATGAATGCGCCGATAAAATAAACACAAGCGCGTGACTCTATTGCCTTGAGGATGTGAAAATTAACGAAAAATGATACCTTTCCATTTGAATACCAGAATTTAAGATATGAAGAGTTACTGCTGTTCTCAGAGTTTCTTTAAAAAACGATTTGGAACAGAATGAGAGCGAGAGAGAGGTTTAAGGGCTATTGGACGTATCGACGGAAGCAAGATTTTTTGACTTCCTCGCACGGAGTTGGGGAGAAAGTAGGTGAATGAGAGAGAGGGCCGTTGTACGTAAAGGTATGCATATACTTATTTCGAAAGAGTGACCTTCATGACTCACAATTAGCTGACAATGGGTAGAACAAAACCACACAGAGGAGAGTCACGAAGTCGAAGTGGCAGAACACTATAAACCATAGTATAGCATGCCAATAGTGAGAGCTTGGACCGCTGTTCCAAATCTGCTTTTATCTGCAAAATGCCTTTAGGATAAATGTTAGGAGCATTATGTGGACATTAAACGGGAAGAAAATTCCATACCCTTTCTAGACCTTAAATAGAGCAGCGGCAAATGCCATAATACTTTATACAATAAAATCCTTATTTAGTATATCATTATTTCCTATTTCTCCCTTTGGCGTCCAAAAAGTGTAACGGTTGGTTTTATCTCGGCCATTACTTCAATTTTCGCTTTAAAATGCTCATAACTCCCTTCCCGAAGGCGCTCTGCAGAAACGGAAAGCCGATTTGGAATCAGCTTTTCAAGCTTACACTAATGATACGCAGCTTGTGGTGATCGACCACTTCGACTTCGTGGCCCTCCCTTGTCAACAAATTACATTCGCTACGATGTACGAAAAAAATTCGTAAAGATAAAACTAGCAAAATGATAGAGTTATAATCACAAAATAGAGAAGCATAAGAAAAGAAGAGAAATGCATTACTTACCCAGTAATGGTGATTCCCTGTGAGGATCCCGGTCTGATGACGTTGCACCACCTAGTCCTAATCCCCTTGTGACATAGGTTAAAAAGCCGCAATCTGGAGGCCTGCAAAAGATATTTTATGCTGATTGCCTCGCTTGACTCATTCAGTCAAAAAGGTTTCTACATGACGGAGTTTATTCCTTGCATGTAAAAGCTTTTTGCTGCTTCGATATTGACGCTGGAATGCTTTTCAGGAAGAAAATTCACGCCATATTATTTTATGGTTCAGATAAAGACAGTTCACACATCGTCTTTCGCCCACTACATTGTAGCGGCAAATATAGAACAAAATTCGCAACGGCTAAGCTACTTTACATGAAAAACGCCGATGTGGACGTCAGAGAGAGTAGCAAGCTATCGATTTCAGGCGCCTGTTATGTTCCTTCATCCAGGTTTCTCCACAAAATGCTTTTTGTCAAATGTATCGAGTTCAAAAAGAGCAGCGAAAACATTTCTGTTCAAATTTTGTTAAAATAGAGCAGAGATAAAAGTATATTTAAAGAAAAGTCAGCTAGTGCACTAATCCTATTTCTACGGCAAGTAGCGATTTTTTATAGCATTTAGTGAATATTGGAAAACTAAGCGAAAGCGATTACACCGCGGAACTCAGTTGCAAAAAAATTGGTCACTTGCGAGCATAACTGCATGAGTTCAGCCTGAGACCCTACTAGGAAGAAGAGGAAAAAACTGTTTGCACGCTTGATTGCGACCTCCAAGATGTCGAAGAGATTTTTTACAAACCGTAGGCAGCAGCAGCAATGTTTGTCGCTCGTGTGAAGCGTATTCTATATATATCAAACATGTTCGAGTAAGGATGAGCAAGAGAGCAGAAGGAAGAACAGTTCATGCCATAATATGAATGGCGAAAACTACGCTTGCCAGCAATTTTCCTGCCATCAAAATTTGATAGCTCTCGCGAAAACGCACAATCGATACAATAGTGCTTTTTGAACAGCAGCTATGTAAATTATATTGGGGCTATGATGCAAACGCTGCAGCAGAACAGAGTCAACCTTCCACATCTTTTTTACAAAACGGAAAGATCAAATTAGCAAAACAGGATATTCGAATGAAGAAGTGAGTGACGTTTACAACATCTAACTGCCCACATGCCGCGATTGTAAAAGAGCAAAGCAGAAATTCTCAACATTCAATGTAACCGACTGTGTCAATGCCAAATTAGAAAATAGATTGTGAGGAGATCTGACTCTGGCAGATTTCAGAGAAAATCGAAAAATGCTTGACAACAAGAAAATTTGGTAACTATTAGTTTGCCCCAAAACTAAGTACACACTTTGCATTAATAACTCTCTTTCCCTTCGCTTCAAGTATCATTTAGTAGAGCAGCAGGCTTCAACTTAGATTTATGATATGGAACAAATCCCATCGCTTTTAATTAGATTACTGTAGGAGTACGGTAGAAACTTCCATCTTACAGCGCAAGTGTGCAATAAGAAGTTTGAGAAAGAAATTTTAAAAGAATCTGGAAAGTTGTAAACGCCGAAAAAACGTTGTTGCGACTTACTTGCCATAAACTACGAAAAAAGCCTTACTGCAAAGTGCGAATTTCATATTTATAATCAGCGAATTAGATTAGCTTTATGATAAAGTTTTCGGCTCGTTAAGTATCTATTTTATTCTAATTCTAGTATTTTGGGGCAATAGCCGTTGATGGCTCAAAACCCTCTTTAACTTCCTACCTAGTCCTACAGTACTGAACACCTGTGGTGGTTCGCTGCATGTAATAAATCTCACTTAAAGGTAGCGTCCAGGCAGATCTGGACCTATGTGGCTTTAACGTGGAAAGTACTCTTTTGGGGCCCTAATTAAGGCACTGCCCAAGCGGCAGCTCAGGAAGTGCTGTAATGGCTGAGATATTCCCCTCGAAACTGGCCCCCGCGAACGTAATCACATGGATTCATGGCAGTTTCGCGCCGGGATCCACGCTTTGCGCCATGAATCCATGCGAAACACGGTCGCGGGGTCCAGTTTCGAGGGGAATATCTCAGCCATTACAGCACTTCCTGAGCTGCCGCTTGGGCAGTGCCTTAGTTAGGGCCCCAAAAGTGCTTTTCACGTAAAAGCCCCATAGGTCCAGATCTGCCTGGACGCTGCCTTTAAAGCTTGCTCCACCGAACAGTACTTGAAGAGCTAAGGAAAAGCCTTCTTGGGAAGAGAACTACAAGCAATTCTAAAATTATACTTATTTTTGTGACACCCTGTATCTGAAGATAGTACCAGCAACATATTAAGACATTCTGGAGGTGGCATTGCCTATAGCATAACTGAAAGTCCCAGAATACATACGAACATCTATTGTAAAGTTCTGCGCTAATACACATGGTAATAATACAGTGATTTATGGATTGACGTCAATGGAAGTAATGTGTATGCATAAAATATGAAACTAATGCGAGACATAAATGATGTATCATGTTACGCCCAGTATTTTAAACTTCTTCTTTTTGCCGCAGAGCTGTTGTCGTGTTCCCAGAAAAGTCAATAGAGAACGAGATTATTTATGAAAAAAGGAGCAAAAGCATCGTCATTGCATTGGCCAGTGAGCGAATGACTCATGAATGGGTTTTTTCATTGTGAGGCATGACGCTCCTTCAAGTGGAGAGCAATTGTGTACAGTGGCGCTGTCTCCCACTCTTATGTCGATATTTGAGTTGTTTTGACATAAGAAAGATAGTGCAAGATATGAGAAGTACCTTCAATCGCAGCACATAATAAATGCATCATTTTTTAAACTAGAGAAATGAGAAAGGGTGGACCAAAAGAATCGGGGACATTTGCAAACGATTTAGTTCTTCGACAAACGCTGCAAAAGCTTTGGACGAGGAAGCGTTTTGAAAGGAGCAATCGATTTAATGGCCGACCTTGAATGGAGAAAAACGTCTCTACGGTACACCAATCGGAGAATGGAGCACTTTCAAATTTTGCAGAAAAGCAAGGCCAGTACCGGAGACAGTATACGAAATATTAACATCGTATAGAGTAAAGAAAATTCTCGTCATAGATTTTTCCCGGTAAAAATCACTGATAAAGTCGATGTCAAAAGATCCAGGCGTGAAGGACTAAATATTTGAAATTTCGAAGTCACTTTCTCATAAACTGATTCAGTATCACAGAATGTTCTCTATGCATACTCTTTGAAAGCCGAAAGGTTCAAAAGTTGTCTACACAGATTATAATGTGCAGGTGAGTTGTTCCTACTGACACAAAACTAAAACACTTTTTCTCATTTTCAAAAATTCAAATGCCTTCAAGAAAATGGATTCTAAAATGTAATTTTTTTTCAGGATTGCATAACTAAGCTCAAGAGTTTTCAGTATCCCATGTTCTTCCAGAAAAATAGATCTCTACATCTCAATACACATTCTTCATTCAAAAAAGTTCCGTTCCCATCCCATCCTCCCAGAAGGGATTTTTAGGGACCACGTTTTTATACTCACACCTATGTTAGAGGATTCTCAGAGTACAAAACCAAACACAGAATAACGAACAATCGTAGCCTCACACTTCCAACATATGAACAGCATTCAGAGAGGAACGTTAGTGCAAAAACATCAGCAGAGATGGCCTAGTACATGTTTTTACTCTAACCCCAAGTGTTCACTGAAAAGATCATTCATTGAAAGATCCCTCATACATATTATTTTGTCAGGGAAAAGATCATCAGTGAGACCTACAGAAGTCAACAAACGATCAACGATCTCAAACGATGGGTAAAGAACATCACTCCACAACTGCGCAGCAGTCACCGGACCGGATTGCAAGGTCGCAGTGCACATTTGTTGAGCAACGGTAGGTTTTTTTCTGGATCCGTGCCAGTTACTGCGAGTAATCTTCTTCCATGTAAATACTCAGTACAACTGGATTTTGACAAAATCTCCTTCCGAGTACGGCGGGAGGGTTTTTCGTGCAAGAACGGGGCGAAAAGGGAAATGAAGAAAGAAACACCTAGAACTGAACACAGTCACTGAGAAGAAGGAAGTGAAGGCTGCCCTAACCTTCTGGATATATTGTTCTTAGTCTACACATAGAAGGATGCGTCTTATGTAATCAAAATAGTTCATCTTCCTAGTGTAGGCCACGAAAAGCAAGCTGGTACAATCAAACATCGAGAATCTCGACATTTGTCCAAAGACTGGGTCATAAGTCGATATAACGCCTTGTTTACCAAAAGTTGTGAAAATGTCGCGATCAACGTTGGCATGGCACCAAACGTCGTGCGATGATACACAGTGACGGCAAAAAGCAGGTTTATTGCCGTCACGAATCAAGGCCGACCGCGGAGATTGCAACCGCTAGCTCTTAAGCTGCTAATAAAATCGAGTTCGATAGTTGGCGTCGACAAATCAGATGCAGAACTGAGACGCAAATATGCGGAATCAAGATGTGGCTTGATAAGCAAGTCGATCAAAAAGCAAACATTTCACTCTAGCTTCCTCTAAGGTCTCGGGCATACTTAAAGCGATTTGGCAATTCGCCAGAAGTCTTCAGATCCTACACTAGCAAACTGCACATGCATAGGTGTGTAACTTACACGGATTGATAAAATGCCCTATCTTCAGTACGTTCAAAATGTGCTTATAGTGAGTTATGGACAGTTGGAATTTTGCCAAATCGCGTGAAGTATGCCCGGCCCCTAAGCATTATTAAAATCAGCTGTTATGCTTTGTTATTACCAAAATAAAAATTATACTTTTCGACAACTTGCTAACTGCGCATGCTGCAACGACAATGCCTATAAGTCATAGTCACGAGCTGCGCAAGGATGTACCGTGCAGAAGTCAAAGGAATGAGTCGATGCTTGGGCGCTCCTAATCTAATGACATATAGTCATGACTGGAGAGGAAGAGAAGGATACCGATAAAAGTTGGCGATTGAAGACGACATGTATCACTAGACAATCTTTGAACGCTGATTCCAAATTTGTTTTTCTATTTTGCGGAACCACTTTCCGAAAGAAGTTATGGGCGCTCGAATGTCCAAATTTGTCAAGCTTTGAGCGGCCTGAAATTAACGAAATGTAAATAAAGATCTAAAGGTGGGTA